AGAGACAGCATAAATATTTTCTCCATTATTTCCATTGAAGTCAGGTGTTAAAGGGTTTTAACTCTAAATCATAACTAATACATGACATGATATTTATGGAATAAAGTAAGCCACACATCTTCCTGTACAATTTAAGCTCAGGCCAAGTATGTAGGATTCTTTTCTCAGAATTGAGAGGCATTATCTCATTCCAGAGGGACTGGATGACTGGTGGAAGAAGGCTTGTTATGTGAGTTGTCAAACTCTCGAGAGAAAGTTTGTGCAAGCCTCAGAGAAGAGCTCTAAAGACCTGCGAGCCCAGCAGTTTCATTTGGTCTCTCCCTGTACAAGACCGAGATCTTGAGAGGCAGTCGCAGGCATGACTCAGCATCTCGGTGTAACTGGTGGTGCCCTATCCCTGAGTGTTTTAGGGCCATTCACTCTGTCTCCTAGTTCCCTCAGTAGGACATTGAGGATGTTGCGAAGATTAAATGAGATAATAGAGGTGAAGCATTTAGAAAAAGGGCCAACATTTGTTGAGCTTAATAAATGTACGTGTTCAATAAATGCTGATTGTTATTACTTAAAACGTGTGTGTTTGAAACAGAGGCTAAGGGATCATGAACTTTCTCAGCAGGGAAGCAGAGCTTTCTCAGCTCCTTTCTCAGCAAGGAGCTTTTGACATAGGTTGGAGCAGGGAGGCAGGGACAGAAGCTGGGAAGACCCTCTCAGGAGCTGTTTGTGGTGGGCAAGCGGGAGGCCCCACTTTATGTTAAGACTCAGCTTCCCTCACAGCCTTTGATTTGGGGCTCGCCTACCTTCCATCTGTAGGAACATGGAAATGAGGAGTGTTTTATTCCATGCGTTTGAGTAGTGGATTTTTATTGGGCAGTGTTATGGGCTGAATTGTATTGCCGCCAAATTAATATTTTGAAGTTCTAACCCTTAGTACCTCAGAATGTGACTATTTGGATATAGTCTCTTTAAAGAGCTAATTAAGTTAAAATGAGGTCATTAGGGTGGGCCCTAATCCAGTATGGCTGGTGTCCTTATAAAAAGGAAATTTGGACACAGACATGCACAGAGGGAAAACCGTCTACAGCTGAGGAAAGAGGCCTCAAAAGAAACCAACCCTGCTGGCACCTTGAATTCAGACCTGTAGTCTTCAGATCTGTGAGAGAGTGAGCCTCTGTTGTTTAAGCCCCCCAGTCTGTGGTACTTTGTTATGGCAACTTGAGCAAATTAATACAGGCAGCTGCTAAATTCTCCCTGAATGATAGTATTTCTGGGGAGGGTGTTGGGAGCTGAGGGGAAGCGTTACAATATAATGAATGAGAACTCAGTCCAGGTTTTAAACCCCAGCTGGCTAGCTTTATGAATTCAGCCACTGTACTTACCTGTATATATTAAAATAATTTTTTATTAAATTTATTGGGGTGACATTGGTTAATAAAATTATATAGGCTTCAAGTGTACAATTCTATGATACATTATCTGTATATTGCATTGTGTGCCCACCACCCAAAGTCAGATAGATCTTCTGTCATCATATATTTGACCCCCTTACCTTTTATTACCACCCCACCCCCATTTCCTTCTGGTAACCACCATATTGTTTCTGTTATCTATGAGTTTTTGTTTCTTATTTGTTCTTTTTTTTTTTTTTGCTTTCTGTTCTTAACTGTGTTGTCTTAATTTTCCTAATAGGTAAAAGGAGGGCGTAAGCTACTTCATAAAGTTGTTGTAAAGTTTAAATTGAATCATTTATGTAAGTTTCATCACTGTGCCTGACACATGATAATCACTCAGTAAATGCAGTTATTGCTAGGATATGAAATAATTAGAAGTTTGGTTATAAATTACACACATTGATTATCAATCTTAAATAATATTTGCTTGTCTACCACTTGGAAAAAATGGGCTCATTACAGATTTAAAGCATTTCTTGCTGACATTCCAAGGAGTTTGGAATGAAAGTATAACAAGGCTCTCTTTGAATGTGCAAAGTAGCTAAAGAGTATGGTACAAACAAAAGCTACTTTTGTTCCATGGCACAGAAAGGAATAGCATTTTTCGTACTCTTCCCGGCCACATTTATTTGTGGGGGCAGTGCAGAAGAGTGCTGTTGGTGGAGGAGGAATGGCTTGCCTTTAAATAAGGAATTGTTTAATTAGATGGGTTTTGTCTTGATGCATATAAGGCAGTGTTGCTGAGGAAAGCATTCCAGGCCTGGACAGTTGCCTGCGCCTCAGTGGTGAGCCACTGGTAAATCACTGCAGTAGAGGAAATCATTTCGGACTGTTAATATTTGCTATTTGTTAAAAATAGACTGCTTGTATTTCTTCATTAGGAGGAAGGCAATGTTTTTCGCTCTTGGCAAAGTTTATTTTTTGTTGGAAGAATATGAAGGTCATAGAACAGAAATCCCCAAAAAATGTCTTTCCGCAGCCCACTAGAGCAGAAAGATTTAGGACTTATATTTGAAAACTGCAGAACAGTTTGATTGCACTTAGGTGACATAAGAAGTCAAATCCTTGTTTACTTTTGATTTTTGGAGTAGAATAGGTCTTTATTTTAAAATTTTTATTTTTTAATTACAGTCAAATTCAATATTATTTTATTAGTTTCAGGTGTACAACATAGTGATCAGACAGCTGTATAATTTACAGAATGACCCCCCCCCCAATATTTCAGGTACCTACCTGGCACCACACATAGTTCTTACAATATTATTGACTATTCCCTATGCTCTGCTTGACATCCTGTTGACTATTCAGTAACTACCAATCTGTGCTTCCTAATCCTTGGGCATGTGTTTTATTTCCTTGCAGTTACTTTGAAATCTTGCAAGAGCTGTGGAAATTGAGCTCTTGCTGAATCTGAGTTATGTCAGTCTTGCTGGTGTTTACAGTCGGATTAGAACAGCTGTGCTCTGCTGTTTCCTTATGCAGAAGGGCCCACACAATACTTGAATTGTGGAGTGCATACTGTTGGAGATCACAAATGAGAGTACAGCTTGCTTTGATGCTTTGGAGGGAGTGGATCAGTAGAAAAGTAAAGACTTTGCACATGTTCCTTTTAAATGTGAAGGGCTTACTTAAGAGCAACGTGGTATGTTTTTACTCTCTTTGGCCATACAATTGTTACTCGGGGGAACCACTGCTCTGTCCGCAGGTTCAGGGATGCTCAGTAATTACTGGCCAACCAAAAGGAATGGAGCATATTTTCCTTTGGTTCTCTCCTTAGTAACTATGTTCTGCTGCAGGCCGGACCCTGCCCTGAGAGAATGGAAGAATGTGTGATTGATGGACCTACAGGTGACCATACCTTTGACTTTCCAGTTCCCAATTCCTTTATATTTTGAAACTTGCTAAGATGGTTATTTTTCTTTCTATTTGTGTGTGTGTGTGTGTGTGTGGTTGGTTGTGCATTTAGGCTATATAAAAAGATATGACCAAAATTATGCAGGATAGGATCACAGCTCAACTCCTGTGCCTTTCAGGGTATAAAGTGAGGGTAAGCAGTAGAGGAAATACATTTTTGGAAATACTGACAAAGAATGAGCTCCAAAC